ATCTCTTTTTCAGATTCGTTCTCCTTCTCTCTTTCTTTTTCTTTTTCAATCTCTTTTTCAGATCTAGATTTATCCCTTCTCTTCTTCTTCATTTTTTTCTCCAGCAATTGACGAATAAAAATTGCAGTCACTCTCTTTCTTTGCATTTATTCTCTTCATCAACTCCGATCTTTCTCATTTTTTAGCATTTTGGTGTTCTTGATTGCGGAAGAGGAAATGAGAGGTGACAGAAGAATATATTTTTCTCTCCCTCCTCCTTTTTTTTTCTCCCTTTTAGGTAATATATATTATATTATTACTCTATACCATATGGTATTGGGTGGTAATGAAATATATATTGATATTACCACACTATACCATATGGTAATGTATGGTATTGTGTGGTAACGAAATATATATTGATATTATCACACTATACCATATGATATTGTATGGTACTGTGTGATATTACCACACTATACCATATGGTATTGGGTGGTAACGAAATATATATTGATGTTACCACACTATACCATATGGTATTGGGTGGTAACGAAATATATATTGATGTTACCACACTATACCATATGGTATTGGGTGGTAACGAAATATATATTGATGTGGCAAATGTTTTCATAACATATGGTATAGTCTTATTTAATACCATTCAATACCATATGATATAGACTGGTAATAACTGGCAAATGTTTTTTGTAAAAAAATAAAAATAAAGTGGATATCATTTTGAAGAGCACAATTAATCTGATCTAAGTATGCAAATAAAATTAAATTCTGACTTAAAACGAGTGAAATCGTCCGTTAAAGATTAAGGAAAGAAAAATTAAAGGTTTTCGAGAACAGAGAAGGAGGCGCTAATGTGGTCTGGTCAAAAGTCAGCGTTTGCAATAAATAGCATAAATGTAATTTTACCTTACTGCCCTTTCACATTTAATTTAAATAAAAAAAGGACTGACACGTGGGGATAAGGGAAGGGGTTACTGACCCATCAGTTACTGACATGATCTGCTCCCGGCTAATCGTAACCTGGGGGCAAAAGTTTGGGAGTTAAAGGGACAAAATGACCTTTTAGTCCCCTAAAAACAAAAAAAGGTACAACTCTGAGGGCTAAAAATTTATGTTTTGTATTTAGTAATCCTAACTTATGAATATTTAAATTTTGTGTTTTTTAATTTAAAATTTATATATTCGTTTATGATAATTTGATACGAACATTTCTAAAATTTGAACAATTTCTAAGATATTTTGTTTTTAATTAAAATGGAAGAAAGTTACACCGAAATGATCTTCATTCATCGAAATTTCCAAGATTTTGAATAATTTCGGTGATACTTTTGTTTTTACTTAAAATTTTGATATAATCCCAAATGGTCCATTGTACACGTTTAAATTACTTTACAAAATCCGTGTTCAGGGTACATACTTTGGAGGCATGGTTCTTTTAATTGGCTTGGTGTAAATTCAAGGTTAAGGGTTTGTTATGTAGATAAAGTTTCCATGTTTCCAATGATATGCTTTGTGGAGCCAGATGATGTCATTAAGGTTGTTTTCCAAGGTCTCAAAGTTGCTACCTCAAAACTGGAAAACTGCCATAAAATGGCTAAGGCAGAAAACTGTTTTGTGAAGCCTACTTTGGAGCTCAATTCAAGGAGCATGAAGGGGATTCAAGTCAAAGGGCTTCCACAACATGAAACTAGGTATGTTTGTGAACAAAGGTAAGGAATTAGATGAAGAATTGGAGTACGGGAAGGCCTTCAACAAAAGGCGCGAAGTTAGTACGAAAGCTGCCTTTTGACTGTTTTCCGGGCAGCTTACTTGTGCGCCAAGAAAGGAAGTTTATGGCCGAATTTTGAGTCCTTTTTAGAGTTTGTTTTTACCATAATTGTTTCCTAGTTCTATTAGGTTTGTATTAGGTTTTTATTGTCTTTAAATAGCTTTCATTCTCACGTTGTAAGGGATCCAAGTTTTAGTTGAATGAAAATTGCTCCTTTGTGAGAATTGTGTTCTTTGAGAGTTCTCAAGAATCAAACCCTTGAGTTAGTTGTGTGAGGAATTCCATTGCTAATTCGAGAACCCTTGTGAGGCTTTTCTGTGAGGATTCCATATTCGTTTTACAAGTTTCTTATCAATCAAGTAATCACCTTGATTGTGGCGAAATTCTACTTATCCGTTTTATTTTTCGTTGAAGAATTTTGAGCTGCGTATTCTGATCAAACAAAGCACCCCTGGTGCTTTATCAAATTTGTTCATTGATTATAGTTATTTTCTTCAAATAACATTAAGACAGACAAAAATCACACCGAAATGAAATTCTTTAGCTGAAAAAACACCAAAATATATAAAACACGTCGTTTTAATTTAATTAACTAAAAGAAAAAAAAAACAACACTCCCCTTTACAAAAAAAGTTGTCATTAGTGACGAAAATTACAGTATGTTTCGTCAACTACGTGAGCATTTGTGACAAAAATTAACTTTATCAGTGAAGACAAAAATCATCGCCACTAAGCTCATTATTTGGAGTAAACTTTTAGTACCATCATTTTTTGTGACGAATAAAATGTTATCGTCAATTATGTTTCATCAAGTAGTTGTGTATTTGTGACTAAGTCTTCATCCGTCAGTAAATATAAGAATTTATGTCACTAAGTCTACTACTTTGTGACCAAATCTACCGGGAAGAAGTATTCCTTCATATACCTAAAAAAACCCATATAATTAGTTATCCGGATATTGGGAAAAAATGCAAGAAGTTCAATAACAACATAGTGAAGCTGAACACGAAAGTATGTAGGAGTAAAGAAACAATTAACAATTTGAATAGAAGTATTTTTTATGTTGATATATAGTTTAAACAGTGAAAATTTACTTCGAAAAATCTCGTGAGCAATTGAACAAAAATAATTAAAACATCCCAATAAATTTATTGACAGTTGAGATTTGGTGTAAGTGTAATGGAAAGCGAAATAAATATAAAGAACAAAAGAGCTGAAGACGTGCTCTTTGTGAGCGCTAAGATTATTCTCCATTAAGTAGTTTAAGGGACCAACCTGGCAAAGTAGCGGGCTAAACCTGTGGGATCGGTTAGCATGCTAACCCTTGTAAGGGGTTGGAAAAATGACACCCCTATTAATTATAGTTATTTTTTGTATTAAATTCATGTTGCATTTAATAATCTTTGGAAATTAAGAACTCATCTTAATTACATTCCTTTTTTTTAACTACCATTGTACTGATACAACTACCATTGCACTTGTATACTGAACTCATATTAAATACGTTCCTTTTTTGGAACTACCATTGCAGTGATACATCTACCATTGCACCTGTACACAACTACCAGTGCACTGATACAACTACCAGTGCACTGAAAAAAGGAAAGTAATTAATATGTGTTTTTAATTCATACAGATTATTAAATGCAACACAAATTAATTACCTTAAAAACCTATAATTAATAGGGGTTGTCATTTTTCCAACCCTTTTATGGGTAGGCATGCTATCTCATCCCAACCCGTATATCCCTGCATCATTAGAGAATCCTAATTAAACCTAAACAACGCAGCAGCCGCAAACCCCCCCATGCCTTCCTCCTTGCACAAGAGTCAAGACCACAGCCCCAAATCCCCACCAACCTCTGCCCTCCTCCGCGCGTGTTACTAACCTTAAAAAGTAAAACAACCTTTCTACGTCCAACCCTTGATCCATCGCCAGAAGCAGCGACAACAGTCAGCCGGGCGCCGACGATCCTCTCCGAACGACACCGAATTGTGGTCTTCATCTCATGTGTTGTAGGTAAGAATCCTGAATCAAATACAGTCAAGAGTTCAAATCCATCCATGGCTATAGCGTCAGCGGGAAGGCTCGGAGAGTTCGAATTGTAGTTATCCAAGGAGGTTTACGTTCTACAATCCTTCTACCTATCACTAAGCACGTGTTAGAGATAAGAAAATTTGATCGTTAATTTTGTTCTTATAGCAGATGGCTTGTTTCTTTTTGTTCTGTAATTCCTTGCGTCATGACTATGGTGACTTGCAGGTAGGGATGGTGTTGGAACTTGGAAATCAGGGGTGTGAGCTTGTTCTTCTTTTGGCGAGAACCAGCCAGTGTAACTCCTGTTTTTCTACTAATAATCTCCTGCCCTTATTCATTTCAACCCTCTATATATTTATACAGAGGAGAAAGCCTAACGATCAGGTTCACAAACTGATACCCTGATCTCCGATGATTTGGAGAATCTATATGATCCCCCTACACCTATCCGACTTGACAAATCCTAACAGCTACGTGGACATCGACTCCACTAACAACCAAATCAAATTAGCAACAATGAAATCCAATCTTAACTAATAAACTTCCTACGCAAGCAGCAGTGGGTCCTTCAGCTAATGGTCTTCATGATCAGCCACGGCGAACTTCGCCCAAACCTGGTTGGGCCTCCATCTCCCTCCTCGATCCACGGCCAGCTCGTGTCATGAGCCCATCATTGCCTCCTCCTGGGAGAATGGCCTTGTCCTCAAGGTCCGAATCTGCAAAGCGGTCAAACAGCTCCGAGGTCAGCTCCCAAGTTGCATCCTCTTCTGGTAATGCACGCCATTTGACCAGAGATTCTTCAATGATTTTGTTTCCTCGACGAATCCAACGAGTGTCCAGGATCGCCTCTGGTAAGAGTTCGAGCGCTCCATCTTCAGCAATGGGCGGAATGGTGAGGTTTGGTGGCATCTCCGGAGTGGTACAGCGACGGAGCAGGGACACGTGAAACACGGGATGCACACGCGAGCCTGTAGGCAGCCCCAAACGGTAGGCCACTGGGCCTATGCGTTCAGTCACTCGATATGGTCCATGGAAGCGAGCTGCGAGCTTTTGAGAGGCTCGGCGGTAAACTGAATGTTGCCGATAAGGGTGTAGGCGCAGGAATACCATGTCACCCACTTCGAAATTCTCATCCCTCCTACCCTTATCCGCCTGTTGCTTCATCCTAGACTGTGCATTTTGGAGGTTGATTTTCAGCTCCTGCAACACCTCATTCCTGTCTAGTAAGGCTTGATCAACTTCGTGGACTGCTGTACCGTCCCGTTGGTAGAAGGGAATTGCAGGAGGTGGACGTCCGTAGACAGCTTGGAATGGACTCATGCCAATTGAACGGTGGAAGGTGGAGTTGTACCAGAATTCGGCCCATGGCAGAACAGTCATCCAACGGCGGGGCTGTTGGTGAGTGAAGCAGCGCAAGTATTGTTCAAGGCTCCGGTTGACCACCTCCGTTTGGCCGTCGGTTTGAGGATGATACGACGATGACATGGGCAGCGTCGTGCCTGACATACGAAACAACTCATGCCAGAAATTACTGATAAAGACAGGGTCTCGGTCACTTACTATAGAGCGTGGAATGTCGTGCAGCTTGACGATTCCCTGAATGAAAGCATCGACGACCGTCTTGGCGGTGTAGGGGTGAGATAACCCCATGAAGTGTGCCGCTTTTGTCAACCTCTCTACAGCCACAAGAATCACCGTTTTACCGGCAGATGACGGCAATCCGTCGATGAAATCCATGGATAGCTCATCCCAAATCAGAGTAGGGACTGGTAATGGTTGAAGAAGTCCGGCGGGGGCAAGAGACTGTGATTTGGACCTTTGGCAGGTCTCACAGCCGGCGACGAACCTCTTGACGCTTTCGAGCATGTCGGGCCAAAAAAATTGAGCAGCCAGCCGCTTGTATGTTCGTAGAACTCCGGAGTGACCGCCTATGGGTGAGCTGTGGTACTCCTGTAGCAGCTGGGCAACGAGAGGCGAGTCCGGGGGAAGGACAAGCCTTTCATCGTATAGTGCCATGTCTCCTTTCACTGTGAATCAGCCAGGCGAGGGTGATTGTGCTTTCTTCTTGATGGCTTGCAGGTAAGGGTCTTCGACTGCAGCTCTTTTTAAAGAATCACCGAGGGTCGTGAAGGGATGGGAGACTCCTTGGTGCTTATCCCCCATCGATGTCGTCGGGGTAGTTGGATCTGCGAGGTCTCCGATGATTTTACCGGAAGGGATATCCAAAGAGGCTTCATCGTTATCCTCGTGAGTTTCCAATGAAAGAACGGCGGGGGCCGAATTGAAGTTCGATGAAGACTTGGGAGTGGTGTTGTTGTGCGGCTCTCCTGGCCCAATATTATCCCTTTTGTCTTCTAGCCCAATATTGTCTCTTTTGTTTGGCCCATTACCTTTTTCTAATTGTGACGTAAATGGATCAAGCTTGCTGTTTGGGAATCCATTTTCCGTCGTGTCTCCTCTCTTTGGGCTGGCTTCTTCCGTCATCCTGGGCCGGCGAGACAAGGCATCCGCTGCCTGGTTCTCCTTACCAGGTTTATATAGAATTTCATAATCATAGCCCAAAAGTTTTGTAACCCATTTTTGTTGTTCACGAGTTGTAATCCTTTGTTCTAATAGAAATCTCAAGCTCCTCTGATCTGTTCGGATAACAAATTTTCTTCCCAACAGGTATGGTCTCCATAGTTGAACTGCGGCAGCTACGGCCATCATTTCCTTGGCGTAGGCGGACAACCCTTGCCTCTGGGTTCCTAGCGCGCGACTCATAAATGCGATCGGTCGTCCCTCCTGCATGAGAATTGCTCCCAGGCCGTGTTCGGACGCATCGGTCTCGACTATGAACGTTTTTGAGAAGTCGGGCATGGCTAGGATAGGGGTAGTAGTCATTGCTACCTTGAGAGCTTCAAAAGCTGTCGTAGCTTCATCCGTCCATGTAAAAGATCCCTTCTTCAACAATTGAGTTAGTGGCCTTGCGATGAGTCCATATCCCCTTACGAACTTGCGATAGTATCCCGTGAGGCCAAGAAATCCTCGAAGCTCTGTCGCATTCGTGGGCCGCGGCCATTGGACCATCGCCTGAATCTTGGCCGGATCAACCTTCACGCCGGTAGACGTGATAATGTGCCCTAAATATTCTAGTTCATGGAGTCCAAAGGCACATTTGGAGAACTTGACAAAAAATTGATGTTGCCTCAAGATAAGGAATACCTGCCGCAGGTGCTGGAGGTGCGTCGCCCGGTCCGGACTGTAGATCAAAATATCGTCAAAAAATACCAAGACGAACTTGCGGAGGTAGGGCCTGAATATATCGTTCATTAGAGCCTGAAAGGTTGAGGGTGCGTTGCAAAGCCCAAAGGGCATCACGAGATATTCGTAATGGCCGTTGTGGGTCCGGAACGCTGTTTTTGGTATGTCTTCGGCGTGCATCCTCACCTGATGGTAGCCCGCTCGCAAGTCGAGCTTAGTGAAGTAAGTTGCTCCGTGTAACTCGTCTAGCATGTCATCAACGGTCGGGATGGGGAACCTATCCTTGACTGTGACAGCGTTGAGAGCTCGGTAATCGGTGTAAAACCTCCAAGTACCGTCTTTCTTTTTTACGAGAAGTACCGGGGACGAGAAGGGGCTAGTACTAGACTGTATAAGACCGGCATGCATCATTTTGTCGACTTGATCCTCGATCTCTTGCTTTTGGAAATAAGCGTACCTGTATGGCCTGACATTGACGGCGTCAGCCCCTTCCTTAAGTTGAATTCGGTGGGTAATGGCCCTAGGCGGTGGTAATGTCGTGGGTTCCTCGAATAAGTCACCGAACTCCCGAATTACGTCTTGAAATGCTTCCGGGACTTGAAGGAGTGCTTCATGGTTGACGGAAGGTACGCACACAGCACAAAGGACCCCTTGTGATATTTCCTTGAGGAGTCCTTTAAGGGACGCAGCAGCTTGTGTCTGGGGAGTTATCCCATTCAACCTCCTCCTTTGTCCTTGCCATTCAAAGTCCATTGTCAATGCTTTCCAATTGCAAAGTACGTTACCCAACGAGGCCAACCATTGGGTACCCAACACGATATCGACTCCCACGACGTTAATGGCGAAGAGGGAAAGAGAGAATTCCAATCCTTGTACCAGTAGCTTGATGTGGTCGTGTCGGGTAGTGCATGGGAGAGGAACTCCATTGGCAATCTTGACGTCGAATTTTCTTACGTGAGTTACCGGCAATTGGTGTTGGGCCGCAATGTGAGAAGCCACAAAATTATGTGTTGAACCACTGTCAACAAGTACCATGACTTGGGCCCATAATCTCATCGTTCGGCCCGCCGTTAGCCCATTCATGGCGTGGAAGGAGACTTCACTTTCTTCCAACTCCTCATCTTCTTCCTCCGCCCCTTCACAAAGGAGTAGTGCCGGCCGTTTGCAGCGGTGCCCGGGTACGTACTTTTCATCACAATTGAAACAAAGGCCTGCCGCCCTTCGTCGTTGTTGTTCTTCCCAAGGAATCCGGCGGGCGATCTGACTCCGACCTCGTTGTGGCTGCTCCTCGGGACTTTTGTTGGTAGAATTCCCTGCTGTTCGGATTATCGGCCGGTTAGATGGTTTTGTTCTTCGCAACTGCTCATCGCGGATGCGAGCAAGACGTATGGCTTCCTTGAGCGACTCTGGACGGAAAAGACGTAGGGTCTCCGAGATCTCTGCTCTTAGACCACCCATGAACGCTCCCACCAGTGCCTTTTGTGTCCAACCATGGACTTTGTTCCCTAGTCGTTCGAACTCCCGCTGGTAATCTCGGAGAGTTCCCGTTTGGCGGATACGGGATAGCGCTTCGTCGGCGTCATCCTCATCAGCCGCGCCGAATCGGGTCCATAGTTCGCCGGAGAACAACTCCCAGGTGACATGCGTTCCCTCCTGAGCGTAGGACTTCTGCAGCCACCGCCACCACTGGTTGGCTTCGCCCTCGAGGTGGTAAGAAGCCAGTGGCACCTTCTGCTCTTCGTCAACATTTTGGTACTCAAAGAATTGGGCCACGCGGGTGAACCATTCAGTTGGATCATTCCCGGCGAAGCGCGGAAACTCTAGTTTGGTGTATCTCGCTGGGAACAGAGGCCGAGGATGTTCGTCCCGGCGCTCATAGCGACCATGGATGGTACGTCGTTCATCCCTCTCGTAACGGTGATCATCACGACGTTCATCACGGCCGTCGTCCCTTTCCCCGTCGTCTCGTTCTCCCCTCCTGTCACCCCGTATGAAGTGGAGGCTGGACCCTGCAGAGGATCGGTCACCATCGGTGGCAGGAGGTCGACGTTGGAGAAGTCGGAGTATCTCATCAATGCTAGCTTGAGCGGTGGCCGAGTGAGTTTCCAAGGCCTGGAGACGGCCACCGAGTTCAGCTACGGAACCTCCTAGTTCAGCCACCGATCCCTCAATTCGGCGGACGTCATCTGGAATGCCAGTTTGGATCGCCTCCTGAATGCTTTCCAGGTTAGCTTCGAGAGACTCGATCCTCTCCTTGTCCGCCACGGGTTTTGGTCCCATGGATTCGTGCTCTGATACCAAGTGTTGGAACTTGGAAATCAGGGGTGTGAGCTTGTTCTTCTTTTGGCGAGAACCAGCCAGTAACTCCTGTTTTTCTACTAATAATCTCCTGCCCTTATTCATTTAAGCCCTCTATATATATATATACAGAGGAGAAAGCCTAACGATCAGGTTCACAAACTGATACCCTGATCTCCGATGATTTGGAGAATCTATATGATCCCCCTACACCTATCCGACTTGACAAATCCTAACAGCTACGTGGACATCGACTCCACTAACAACCAAATCAAATTAGCAACAATGAAATCCAATCTTAACTAATAAACTTCCTACGCAAGCAGCAGTGGGTCCTTCAGCTAATGGTCTTCATGATCAGCCACGGCGAACTTCGCCCAAACCTGGTTGGGCCTCCATCTCCCTCCTCGATCCACGGCCAGCTCGTGTCATGAGCCCATCAGATGGCAATTTCGACCTGACCCATTTTATCCGACCTGTTTGGCCTGTTTTGGAGCGGGTCCGACCCACCCTATAGGCGGGGCGGCCATGGGTATTCTCATCGACCCGACCTGACCTGACCCGCCCCATTCTCGACCCGTTCTTACCTAAATTACATGTAATTTTAGTCAAATTACTTAGAATTTTCCTTTTATTACATCACATTTTAGCTATAACAAAGTTGTAAATTAGTGAAAACCTCAATTTCTCCAATAATATAACTACATTTATCATAACATAGTTTGTTTTCTTGGTCTTATAATGAAATGAACGAATATTTCTAATGCTTTCCCTATAAATAGCATACCCATTGGGTAGACCTGCCCCAACCTGTGACCGATGATAAATTACCCGACCTGGACCCGACCTGCCACGGGGCGGATATGGGTAGCATGATTCCCGCCCCGGACCTGCCCCATTGTCATTCCTAGTTGTAGGGGTTAGTCTAGCAGAGGAAGAACAAAGTCCATATGAGGCACTGGGGATGATATAGATCTTTTCGGCGGTAGACCAAGGGATGATGGAGATCTTCCAATGAGTTGTGGCTACCCAATG